TTGGGAGATACTCCAACATACCAAGTCACCTAGGACTCGATAACATGGAAAGAGTCCCACCAGAGCTCAATCCTTTTGATACCGTAGGTATCTGGGATGAGTGAATTTTCCCCTTAGAGGGAGTGTGAGCCGTATGGCTAAATCTGGATAATAATAATAATAAAGTTTATTTATAACAAAAGAATGTGTTACAGTATAAATTTACATATTTTATACAATAAATAAACCCAGCTACTCACAGAAGTTGTGTGTCACATGGACTACAACTTGTACGTGAGGGTTGAATTTTTTTTGTTTAACATATTCGCACAAATTTACAATTATAAAAGTTTTTAAAGTACTAACATACAAACTGTTTAATATACATAACATAAAATTTAAAAATATAACATTTATTTGAAATTGAAGCTCATTAATAGCTATTTTATTAATTCATGCAATTTATATCTATTACCATAGATTCATTGTTTTATTTTTTTTTTATTTTTTATAGTTGTGTATTATTTTGATGGTAGATGATAAGCAATTACAAAATTTTTGGTCCCAAAAAAATCAATGCAACGTTAGCCAATGGTTTTTTCCTTTTTTTGGTACTAATATCGTTAAATTTCTATGTATTGTGGGTAAAATTCAGAAATGATTTCTCATTGTGTAAATACAATAATGATTTTTAGGAATACAACTGGTTTAAATCCATGAAATGACTGTCAGTGAATATTGGTCCACTGAAGATCTTATACCCCTTCTATATATTATTCTAATTATCCAATTTTGTATAACGTTTAGATTTTGTAGGCTCCACCCCATGCAATAATCCCATAGGTTAATTGTGATTGTACCAGAGAATAGTATAACATCTTCTGTGGTGAACATCTAAGAAGTCGCGAAGATAATTTTGAGAGTAAACCTCTTATTTTTTGGACTACATATTTAATATGATGATCCCATTTTAGGTGCCTGTCTATTACAATACCAAGGTACTTAATCTTTTCTGCTTCTGGAATTGTTGTATCGTTGTCAATTTCAAGTTGGTTGAAGTTTGGTAACCCAGTGGTGTATGACGAAAATGGCAAGTATTTAGTTTTTTCAGTATTTAATATTAATTGGTTATGTTGAAACCATTTTTTTATTTTTACAAAGTCCATTTCGACATTTTCCTTTAACTTTTTCCAATTATTGTTGCTATAAAAAATGGCTGTATCGTCAGCGAAACTTTTGATCTGGCCTGAAGTCTGTAATGTAAGTAATGTGTTTATATAAATAGTAAATAACAGCGGCCCCAATACCATTTCTTGTGGGACTCCGTAAGTCACAGTTCTGGTCATGCTGATTTTACCACCTACAGTTACCTTTTGCTGTCTGTCACTTAAGTAGCTCTCTAACAATTTGAAGGCCACACCTCTGATTCCGTAATTTTTTAGTTTGTGTAACAGTATTTTGTGGTTTACAGTATCAAATGCTTTAGAGAGATCTACAAATATACATAAGGAAGGTTTTTATTATCTAAAGAATTATAAATATTTTTTACCAATTTACCAATTGCATCTTCGGTAGACCTTCCCTCTCTAAAGCTATATTGACTTTCAGATAATATATTGTTTCTTTAAAAAATTATTTAGACGAGACTTTATAATTTTTTCGATTACTTTACTGAGATTCGGTGCGATATATTAAAAATATTAATTGTTTTTTATGTAATTCACTCGATAGTTTTGTATTTCTCAACATTAGGTAATATTAAATCTTCTTAACATTATTAACTTTGTTGTGACTTTTTTTAAATTTATTTATTACCGTTCTATATTTATGTTTGTACTAGTAATAGTCGGTATGAGATTCAAGCTGTTCAATCAATCAATCTCCTCAATAGTGAAAAAGAATAAACACTTCAATAAAAAAAGAGTGTGTACTTAGTACGCACGCAAGAAGTTATACTCCTATTATATGATTTCAACGAAATAAATATATTTTAAGGGGACTTTTCTAAGAATCTTTCAAAAAATCAATTTTTTTACATAAATCGCTTCCATTTACATTCAAAAACTCCCTCCTAAAACTTTAAAAAGAAATTCCCACTAGAATATAGGTTATAGTTATTTTATTAACGTCATCTACTATGAAAACCGGTATGGCAGGGACAACTATAATGATCTGCACAGATAGCAGACAAGGGCTACTAACCTTGAATAGACCACGTGTCACACAAGGTTTAGTAATGGAGTGTCACGAGTCACTAACTCAAGCTTCGGATGGTAATACCGTCATCCTGAGGTGGGTTAAAGGACACAATAGGAATAAAGGCAACCGCATTGCTGACCAATTATCTAGGAAGGCGGCAGGCCTAAGACTCTTAGGACCTGGGGATCTTTTTGGTTAGTTAACTACAACAATCGCGGAAATTGTTAAATGCCACTCCCATACGCAAACCGTAAAAAGATGGGAAGAAGGGAAAGGATGTAAACTTGCCAGGGTAACACTAAGTAACCTTGAAGAGTCAACATCAAAGAAGTACTTGGGAATGACCAGGAAAAATCTACGTTTGGCAGTTGGTTTTTTAACTGGTCACTGTCAACTAAACAAACACCTCCACACACTGGGGCTAGTAGACACACCTCTATGTAGGAAGTGTGAACGAGAAGACGAAACTGTAGAGCATGTCCTATGTGAATGCCTAGAGTTATCGTTAATACGAGAGTACGCGTTCGGCGAGTCCTGGCCCACATAAGTGAGATGTCTCCTGGTGACTTGTCCACCTTCCTAGAAATGGCAGGATGGACAATGAGCTAAGGGTGACAGCTCCCTGGGAGGATGGACAATGGGTCAATTGTGGCCTAAGTGCTGTGAAACTTAACTCGCCCTCCCTACTCTACAGATACAAATATAAAAACCGGTTTCTCTCCGCGCGGCGAGCGCGAGGCTCCAGCTGTTCTTTCTTTTGTATATATTATGTTGTATATACGTTGGGTATGTATTAGTTAGTCATTTTTATATAGTATGTATATCTGTATAACGTTTGGCAGTTACTATACACATTTGGAATTTTAAATCCGGAACATAGGATTTTTTACAAATTCTAAGATTCTCTGCGTTATTAACCAGTATAAATTTCTTTATAACGTCGCGATGTTTTATAACTAATTTATTTGTTCCACTGGATTACTTCTCCTCAGCGGTTTGTAGTAGCGTATATGGCACGCCGACAGTGTTGCTCCGTCTACCGATTTTTCCTGAAAGTCCGGTTTTGTGCAGGTAATAAATAATCTTTTATTAACATCAATTCTGTTTGTGTTCATTAGGTATTATTTGAGTTATAACATTTATACTTAAATACATTTATTATTCCAAATATTGTTTATAATTTCAAATTAAAAAGAGTGTAATATAATTATTTTATTTTTAAAAATCCTTTTTATTTTTAATTTTAGAAATCAACTTTTTTTTCAAGCCGTTTTGGCAATAAAACATAACCATTTTTTTAGTTACAAAATATTTTCATATCTACATTTATAAATAAGTACGTTTTCGTTGAATTGACATGCGATCTAGGTGTGTTCCGTTTTTACACTTACACTGGCAGTTATGGATCTCATGAGTATAAAAATTGGCGAAACGGCAACGGCCTGGTCGCTAAAAGTTGACGAAGCGAGCACTCAAAAGAAGGCCGAATTAAAAAGAAAAAAAGCTTTACAATGCCATTTACAACAACTGTTGGATGAAGAGGGTCCTCAATATTCACCAGGAATGGCCGATTAAACGTAAGTATAAAGTTATCAGCCTTTTGTTCACGAAAATTATGTAAAAAAAACTTTAAATGCTTTTTTCTCAAAAGTAACATTTTCAAACTGGTCAGACACTTTTCTCCGAACCTTCTTAACCGATTTTAAAAAACAAAAAATTTTTCGAATGTATATACAAAATACTAGATGATAAACCTTTAAAATATTTAAAAACCACCCCCCTTTAATATATATGGGTAAATAAACCGAAAAATATAGCGATTTTTCGACTTTTTTGAAAAAATTCGTATAAACTCTTCAAAAGAATACAATTTGCATATTTTAAAGGTTTATCATCTAGTTTTGACTCTCACGAATACAACCCATTTTGAATTTTTTGAATATCTGTTACCACCAAAAACGCACTTTTTACTACACGCCATCTACAGGACACCAATGAAGTTAAAATCGATATTAAAAATTTTTTTATGTCCTTCAAGACTTACTTAATCATCTCCGAAAGGAATTATGTTAATACATATTATAGTTTTTTTTCTGCTTTAATTTTAAAATGTGTCTTTTTTTAATCGCATGAGACTGTCCCCTTAAAAAGTTATTTTAATACTTACTGTTTTCCAAAAAAGTCATTAAAATAATACCAAGAATTAAAAAAAAAGTAAGGCAACAACACGAGGTGTTCCACAGCTACGTGGTTCCGTAGCGGTCACCCATCCAAATCATAACCACGTTCGAAACTGATGCTATGTGACAATAGAATAAAATTGATACAAAATTAAATATTTTGGCAGATTGTACAAATACTATTAAGATTAGTTTTTAATCTTCTTTTCATCATATTTTTATTAATCCTATTACCGACCGAATATTAATCCAAATACACAAAAATTATAATAAATAATATATTTACTAAATTTAACTTTATAAAATACATCCACCAGGATAATAACCATTTCGTAATTATTACATTGACAGTAGTAGGTATCAATAATAATTATATACACATCAACGTACGTTTAATTTAAAATTTTTATTTAACTTGTTTGAAAATGAATCATAATGCACAGGAAAAGATATAGTGGACGTACTTTATCGTCAAATAAATATAGAAGCAGAAGACCTTAACCTCCCAATCAAGGAAAATTTAAAACTTCATATGTACTCAACAACTTCCAGTAACTTTTTTCTCTCTTCTTGATGATCCAAAGTTCAGGTAATACCTATCAAACAAACTGGGAATTTCAATAAAAACAACCATTTAAATATTTATAAAAATGTACTTTATTACATACAATATATTATTCTGAGCATTATTTAAAAACCACATACTTACATAAATATACATATTTGCAAGTTTTTAATTTCAATAAATTCTCAAAGTATTTGCCAAACAATTTCTATTGCAAAATGAAGGTGACTTTAAATAATACGTCCATGTAAGGTATATCTAATGAAATATAACAAGACTTTCAGTATTTTTCATTAGTATAATACAATAATATAACAGAATACTGATTTTTAAGGTTAGTTTCTGTTTGTACCACATTATTATTTAATTTGAAAATCCTGCAACCTAACTGAGCTCCTAAAAGCCAAATTGCTTGTATCATCCAATTGTGAAAATGTGGATTTTTGTATCGCATCGCAAATATGACGTACGTTACTTATTTTCACACACATTATTTACGAATATATAAAACTTATCATATATTCGAGTTTCTATTAAAGGTCGAGTGTCTGCGGCAATATGTGGAACTTTTTATAGCATCCAGAACTTGCCACAATGACATGGCGCCCCACATTGAGCACCATATCACTGTGGCAATTACTAAACGCTATAAAAAGTTTTAATCTTGTGGCAAGCTGCCTGCTTTCGGACTTCAATTATTAAATAGTGCTCCGATATGTTGTGAGCTCGATTATTTCATGGTTTCAAGATATGGACCTTTTTATAGCATCCACAGGAACAGTCTTTTCACAGAAAAATATCACTTTTTTCGAAATTTTTCTGTTTCTTTCTCAATTTAGTTTTTAAATTTTAAAATCGTTTTAATTCCCAATATATAATTAACGAAAAGCCACTTTGTCCAAAACACTTACCTGTACTATTTGGGCAAACGACAAGAAAAAATTCGCTAAAATCGGAGCAGAATAAAATACTTTGAGAATTCGCTAAAAAAACAAAATTAATTGCGTTAAAAGAAACACATGAACGAGACTAAGGAAGACAACTAACGTTATTAACAACGTTAAATAATTATATGAATATAATACATAATTTATTATTGCAATAAAAAATGGGATAAGGTTACTTTCTTAAATAAACGTGTACATTGAATGAAAATGATTGTATACAAAGGGATATTTATTTAAAAATTAATTAAAAAGGACAGAGTTTGGATCCTCGTTGTCCATCTGTTTGATGTGCCTGAGGACATCTTTTTTGGTTATTACTCCTAGTAAACGCCTGAAAAAAAAAAGATAAAAATCTATCAATAAAAAGTAATGTGCTCGAATTTCGTTATAAAAAGTACTAGAAAAATATAAATAAATTCTAACAAAAGTATGTTGTAGGTCTTGAAGCGATTCGGCGATCAGTACTGTGTCGTCTGCATTTCTCAGATTGTTAATTGGGCTTTTAATGATATAATTCTGACCATCCAAGACTTTATTCAAAATGGCTTCCGAGTATATCGCACTCATGCAAAAAAAGTGACATAACTCCAAATTCTGCAAATTTCATGTTATGTCCGCATATATTCCACATCAAATAATCTTCAATAAGTAAAATTGTCACCAGTTGATTTTTTTTATAATTCTCCCTAGATGTCACTAGTGACGTTATGTGCTTTTCCGTTATTCATCTCGTTTGATTCAAGTAAGGTCGTGCCGCTGCTTAGGAAAACCGACATATTTCGAGTTGTTTACCTTTTTCCTGTTGTATCCTTCATAATTGAAAGTGACAAATAAACATATTTTGGTTTAGGACATTTTTCCTGTTCCATGAAAACATGTATTTCTGTTTATTTTACAATAGGTCACTTTTCTTTTTAGGCTCTGATTTAATTTACAGTTGTGACAAGAGTATCGTACATAAAAATACTATTATGTTTAATGTCGCAGAGATAAAGCACTATAATATAGATATTGTCGTCCCGCATTTTGTGGCAGAGGAAAGAACGTTTTTTAATAATGTATTAAGGTTGGGTGTGTATTTTTTAATTAAAAGTTATATGAATCAAATTCATTCATTCATTTCATTTTATTCATCTAACTTTTGATTAAAATTAGACAAAATGCAAAATAAAAGAAGAAATAATTGGTTTGAGAATGAGAGCAAATTAGCAGTGGAAGAATAGTCCAGGCTGTGAGGCCGCTCCCGTTGGGAAAATGTTTCTGATTCGGTTTCTTCGCGGATTCCGGTTCAAAAATGTCCCCTTTAAACAAATCTGAAGGGTGCCGGGCGAAATTTTTGGGCAGAAATTGTTTAAACAATTTTTTTTAAACAAATTCCAAAAATTTTTTTTTCTGGAAAACGTTTTTTTTAGGTTTTTTGGGTCATTTTAAACAAAAAAGGTCTCTTGTCATTTTTCTCTAAAGTTGATAGTTTTCGAGTTATAAGCCATTTAAAGCCTGAAAAATGCGAAAATACGCATTTTTGAGGCTTGAAAACACATATGTAAATTAATATTTTTGAGGTTACCAAGTGTCTAAATTGAAGTTTTAACATTCAACTTCAAGATTGTGCAGAGTAATCGGGGTTTATTTTAATTTAGACCGTTGTTTTTTAATTGTTAAATATGCGCGTACACTCGATTTTTCAGCCGCCGCGGCGCTTCTATCGTACTTATGCATAGTTTACATATACACTTACGCAAAAAACCCGAACAAATCCTTGAAGTTTATTAACATAGTTTTTTCCATAATTTATTTATGTAGGTATTAATTATTGTCATTGGGCTAATTAAATAAATGAATCATCGCAATGTAATAACCGTATATAGTTTTTTTTTCTTCCAAATTTGAACAATATAATTATTATTTATTGAGTATATATTTATTTATATCAATTGTAAATAATATTTTTAAATTTATTTTATTTTTAATATATTTAATTATATTTTTAATATATTTAAATAATACAATGCAGTAAATATTAATATTAGTAAACTTAATTTTAAATTGCGCGGTGTTTAAAAACAATATACTATCGCAAAAATGCAAGTTTTTACCTGTTTAACAATCGCGCGCTCATACTTGATTTGTTATTACTTAAACGATCATTAGGAAGACTATTGTTTAATGCCCATTAAAAGGGTATTATATTATTAATGTGTTATTAAAAAAATTGTGAATGGATTTAAAATGTCTTTTTCCGTACCTCTTCTTAAATGAAAACTTACCGAAGAAAATTTAATTTGTATTTTTTGTAATAACATCAACAATATTAAGTTAGTGCAAAAACCTAAAGTAGATTTTTACATAACAATACAAAATGCTGCTCTTCGACGAAAAGTGTGACTGAAAAATTTAATTTAATCTAGCCAATATATCTTGTACCTCTGACGCACTTTACCAACACTTGTTAAGAGCTTTCGCTCAAACATATATTTGGCGAAATGCCATATATTCCCGCTATCAAACTCTCGATTTTACACAATATGGATATTGTATGTCTGATAGTGGTGGGTTGGGAAACCGTGCAAATGCAACAAGACTTGCAAAACTAATGCTTGCAACTGCAAGAAAAATCATGTCAACTGTGTACCATTATGTGGATGTGATTTAGATTTTTGTGAAAACAAAGATACTTTTACTGAGTTGTTTTTTTACAATCTTTTGTACAATTATTTTATGTAACTATTATTGGACTTTAGACGAAATTTATATTATAACTCAATTGATATAAATAAATATATACTCAATAAATAATAATTATTTGTAAGTATATGTAAACTATACATTTAAACAATTAAAAAACAACGGTCTAAATTAAAATAAGCCCCGATTACTCTTCACAATCTTGAAGTTGAATGTTTAAACCTTAATTTAGACACTTGGTAACCTCAAAAATAATAATTTACATATGTGTTTTCAGGCCTCAAAAATGCGTATTTTCGCGTTTTTCAGACTTTAAATCGCTTATAACTCGAAAACTATCAACTTTTGAGAAAAATGACTAGAGCCTTTTTTGTTTAAAATGGCCCAAAAAACCTAAAAAAACGTTTTCCAGATTAAGAAAAATTATTTTTGGACTTTGTTTAAAAAAATTGTTTAAACAATTTCTGCCCAAAAATTTCGCCCGGCACCCTTCAGATTTGTTTAAAGGGGACATTTTTGAACCGGAATCCGCGAAGAAACCGAATCAGAAACATTTTCCCAACGGGAGCGGCCTCACAGCCTGGACTAGAAAAGAATAAAACAAGATTGAAAGGGTTAAGCACAAGCAAAAAAAGGAACGAGAAAAATACAAAGATCTTGGGCAAAAGACAAAAAAATTATTTAAATCGAAAAAAAAATTAAAAAGAATTTATGAGCTAATACACAACATATGGAGACATACGTAAATTAAAGAGAGTAATATACCAAATAAAATTATAAGAATGATAGAAATGACAATGCGAAATTCCTAAGTAATAATAGATACCGAAAGAGAAAGAACGGAAATAATAAAAAATAAAAAATGGAGTAAGACAAGGAGATTTGCTCTCAATGGTACTATTTATTTTATCACTAGACATGATAATAAAAAAGCTGCCAAACGCAGAAACTATAAACAAGAATGCAGTACAAATAATAGGATATGCGGACGATACAACCATAGTAGCAACAGATAAAAAATCATTAAAAAAAATCTTCCAAAAATAGAAAACAAAGCCAACTAAGAGGACTGGAAAATAACACAAAATACATGAACATAAGCAAGAAAAGAAGACACAAATCACAGAACTGACAATAGATGCATACAGTTTAGCAGAGGTTGAAACATTTAAATATTTGGGAGTACTATTCAACAGAAGAAATGAAAGTGTAGATATGAAAAGAAAAATACAAGCGGGAAATACAGCGTTCGTACAATCGAAACACAAAAATGAAAATCTACAAAACGACCATAAGACCAATAGTAGTATATGAAAGAAGAAGCAGAAGAAAAAGATGAAAGTTTTTGAGAGGAAGATTATCAGAAAAATACTGGTACCAAAGGGGGAAATGAAGAGGATGCAAGACAATGGATGAATCACGAAATACAAGAATGGATAGGTCAAGAAAACATAGTTAGAGCAATAAAAGCACAAAGAATTAGATGGTATGGACATATAATGAGAAGAGAGAAGATCAATCTGTTAAAATTTATTGTTGAATGGATACCAGCAGGTAACAGAACCAGAGGCAGACGTAAACTGAGATGGTGAGAGCAAGTGGAAGAAGGTTTAAGGGGTATGGAAATTAGAAATATAGAAAGGACAAGGCTTGGAAACGCCTGTTCAAAATGTCCTGACTAGTATCGAAAATGTCGAAGTTCAAAGGCCCAATTATGATAACGCTGAAAAGAACGAAACTGCTGTATTTATAGAAACTACTGAACCTTCGTCTCTACCAGATCTACAAGATCTGTATATACAACAGTATAAAATCGATATTATCGATCAGATAATAAATGCGTCCTAAAAAAACTAAAAAATCATGTACCTGAAGTTTCTGCTCATGAGAATACAGAATCTGTATTAAATGAAAGCGATGCTGATTTAAACTCTGAGTGACGATTCCATAGCCGATCGTAAGTTTTCTTCATGTGAGTCAACTTTAAGTGGTGAGTCATCATCAGATACTGAACAAAATGGCTCGCTTATTAGTTCTACTGAGAGATCGTTTCCTAAACGTGGTAAGAAGAGATTACATAGGATCCAAGTAAGAAAAATGGAGACAGCAAAGGGACTTAGAAATATGAGAAAGGAATAACTGTACGTTTCTAAGACGTCGAAAATATTTAAAGCCACAGAAATTCTAGCTTCATGAACAGAAAAAAATGTAAAGTTTCATGTAAAAAAATGTAAAGCTCAACCAAGTTTTCAGAAGAAGAAAGGAAAAATATTTTTAACAAGTATTGGACACTTGGCAACTGCGACGGTCTTTAGAACAGGGCGGATCTGTAAAAAAATCGACTAAATTGGGATGTGATAGATTGACTTATCTTCCCTCTCAAATAGGTCGGGAAAAATAACGACAATTGAACTTCCTATAAGATACGACTGGTTAAAAATGTTTTAATTTATTAACGTTGCAGCAATAAATGCAAAAAGAGGGGGAAACAAGCCTTTTTTTATTCAATATTTTTCAACCACTTCGATTACACTTAGGACCTTCATAATTCGATTAGAAAATCTTTGTAACCTAGTCAAGCAGTTCTCTAAATTTCATTAAAATCGATTTAACTGATTTCGCATAATATTTTGCAAATCTAATTTT